AACTATAAAACTACATGTTTGGAACAATCTAAAAAAAAAAGGGTTGGTCACAGGTTCAACCCTCTGCTACCTTTGAAATGCTAAACATAATATACCCAGGATTTTACAAAAAAAATGTTTTGTACTACTGAGCCTTTTTGTCTTACTTAAAACCAGGTGTTCTCATAAAATACAAAAATCTCAGGGTGTTGTTGTGATTTTATTTTATTTTTTTATTATTTTTTTATATTTTTTATATGAAGTGTATATTACAAGAAAAAATGAAGTGCAAAGTCAGGAGAAACAACCAGATCTAAATCAATTACATTCAGCTTGTACAATTATAACATTAATTTAGTTAAATTATAATCCTTACTGTTTATTAATTATTATTAATTTCACAAACCTGCAAAGAAATATATTTTAACATTGGTCTGACAACCAGATGCAAAATTTAGAACTTATTCACCTACATCTACATTCGTTGTAACATTAGATCTGTGTATACAATCAACCTCCAGGGGTTGTATAAATGAAATCAAGCCCTTTTCCAACACAATAAAAAAATACAGACAGAGTAACAATCATTTCACTTCAACAGCCACAAGGAATAATGAGAAGACCCCACTGATTAATATGGATGTAAAAAAATCATGACAATAAGTTTTTGTAAAATTGCTTAACAACTACTATTTAAAAAGAACAGAACAAAACTGATAAGAATGTACAAAAAATAATTCAAATATAGCCCTACTATGAAAATAAATGAAACTTTTGATACATAAAAAATTGTGGCTTTGTTTCTTCTGACATTCACAAAAATGATATCACATGTGCTAATTGTAATGTTTTACTATTAAATTAAGCAAATTTTTAATTGATCAACTTGTGAATTTTTGGTAGAGATTGAAAATTTTATCTATCATGCAAATAGCAGACAATAAGAACAGTTTGATGATCAGAAATTGTTTTTCCTTTTACAATTTTATTTAATCAAAACGACAAAAGTTTCACAAACTGAAAGAACAAACACAGTGCCTAGAAACATCAGCTCTATTTTGGAAAAATTGCAATTTTACAGGACAATTTTTAAGTGTGGTGTACAGTTTAAAATGAAAATTTGTTTTGAACTAAAATAGTGTCTAAGTTTGTAATGTACAATTGGTGTTTTTTCTTTTCTTGTACTCACAAAATACGACGGTTGAAAATGTTCTCTTTGTCGGGTTTCATTTTTGATACAACCATTTCATCGCTGGAAGAAAGATTTGAATTATTCAACTGAACAAAGTGAATAATTGACAAAATTGATTAAATATAATATCCTTTCCTGGACATAAGCAGGCACTATTACTATTTAGCTTTAAACTTTGCTGTATACAAAAATAATCCAATAAAAAATTAATTAAAATCGATTAACAAACTTAATAAAAAAATTTAGACAATTTTTTTTCTGTCTGGCTAGCTAGGCTATTGTTGGATTAGATACATTATCATCTATAAAAATATTAAATTGTTAGACTTAGTATTTGTATGGATGTTAATGTATCTAATCCAGCAATAGCCGGATATAGTTTAACTAAATAACATTAAATTTGTTACAGAAAAGGCTGCAAATTTATTGGTATGAGTTCTTTTCTTATCCGATACTAAAATCCTTTAAAATTGTATTTTACATAGAATTGTTTTCTTGTTATGTTCATGTGTATCAATATAAATTTTCAGCATAGGAGGACATAATGTATAAATATAGCAAGTATAGTACGAAATTTGTGAATATCTAACAAACTTTTTGTACAATTTATATTTTCTTGGAACATATTGCAAATATTAGGAAGTGTTTTCCATGAAACAGTTTAATATAAGTATTACTGTATTTTAGTTTAATAAAATTAATCAGTCATTCATAATACTTAGAAACATTCACAATTTCTTCAGTAGAGATCCAATATAAAAATCCTCTTCAACTAAACATTGAATTTTTTTAATATAATTTTTTAAATTGTATTGTATATTACAAGAAAAATCAGAGGATTGCAATCAAATAATTTAAAATACATAATAATGTAATGAAATATGATAATGTTCAGTAAAAAATTATTCCTGTTTAATGTTAAATCAAAAACCGAAATATCAAGTTGATAAATAAAGTACCTTTTTTCCTCACACAGTAAACTACTTTTCACCGTGTTTGATAAAAGAAAGTCCACCAGCTTGGTGATGGAAGTTGGCCTTTTACACATAAATATATACATACATATACAGACACACAAACAATTCACAGCAGCAACATTTAATTGTACCTAAATAAATAATATTTTATATAACTTAGAACACAACCATAAAACAAATGCTTTCATACAGATAATGTGGTAAATGTGAGAAGAGGTTTGTTTGTGTTTAATATATATTATTTTTTTAGCATTAAATTATACAAAAATTTAAATAAAGTTATTGTAAAGGTAACATTTAATAAGGGGTACGAACGGGTACTATGCGCCTCCAATAGCCTCTAATACCCAACTCCGACTTTCCACCTTCACGAAGCTTATGCGGGTGTACCCTGTTAACTAACAAACGGAAAGAGGGGTATGGAGGGACAGGAGCTGGACCTGACACCTCCTAATCCTAAACCCAACACCTACCCCTCTTCCCACCCCACACCTTATCCTGGTCCCACTCTCCAGCCCAAATCCAAGGTGTTATGCGATCCGTGCCGATNTCTTTGAATGCGAAGCAACAGCTCAATGGAGGTTTAACCTAGCGTACGAAAAAGACACAGGGAACCAAATTGCAGCAATAACAGTCAATGACTTGATGCTTCTGAGAAGAAGGATTGAGTCTATTGACTAAACTAGGGAACTGGGAAGGTACAATAAGCCAGAAGGCTGCAGTGCCCGGGGAGTGCAAACCCCGCTTCCTAGTATCCTTTTCTACCATACCATACCATACCAACATTTAATAAACTAATGATGGCAAAATGACATACTTGTGAAACTAATATAAATTAATTCAGATTTACTATTCTATTTTTGTATATATGTAGTTTAATATTCTATCTAATATATTTTTATTAATAGAAATGCCTAACACATGCCTATAAATGAATACTGGAAACAATTTCTTTCAGAGTAATAATTTGCCAAGAAAGAACCTGTTCAAATTTATTTAACCTCAAATAAAATATATTTTTGTTTGTTTAATGCTTTTAGTACGTGGCTACTGGCCTTCAATAAATTCAAAATCAGTTTTTAGTAGATTGACAACTTGAAACTAGCAGCAGGAGTTTTTCATATTCTTTATACTTGTGTAGATGTAAATTGTAAATTAATTTTATATTCTTTGTAATTGTGCAGACACTGCTCAAGAATGGGATATTGTCTGTTTATTAGAATAGTCCACATATAAAAAATTTATTAGGTACAAGTGAAAGTAAATAATGAAATGAAACGATTTTTTCTCACTTATCTCCGAATTTGTTTGTCACTATCATAATCCAAAACACAACTGAGAACTGACTGGAAAGTGCCTTAGGTTTTCAAGAGTGTTAGGTAGGGATAGGATTAGAATTAAGGTTAGATATAGTTAGTGTTAGGGTTAGAAACGTGAGTTTTATCATTTTTTTCCAATGGATGTTAAAGACAGGTTAAGGTGAGGATTAAGGTTAGAGTTATGAATAAGTTGGGTTAGAAAAGATAGGGTTAGGGTTAAAAGCGTGAATTTTATTAATTATTTTTTAAATGGGGGTTAGGGAGAGATTAAGTTAGGTTAGATGGGGTTAGGGACGTGATAGTTTAGGTTAGATAAAATTAGTGTTATGATTAAAAGCTTGAGTTTTACCACTTCTTTCTTCAATGAGGGTTAGGTTTAGGTTAAGGTTAGGAATAATGTTAGATTTTGGGACAGGTTAGGCTAGGCTAGATGGGTTTAGAAACAGGTTAGAGTTAGGGATGTGTGAGGTTATGTAGGATTAGTGTTAGCACTAGTGTTGGGGTTAGAACCAAGGGTTTTATCAATTTTTTTTCAATAGGGGTTTTGGGCGGGTCAGGTTAGGTTAGGTAAGGTTAGGATTAAGGTTAGAGTTAGGGACATGTTAGTTACATTAGACAGAATTAGTGTTATGGTTAGAAGCATGAGTTTTATCAATTTTTTCAATGTTGGGTTTAGGGGTGGATTAGGTGAGGCTAAAGTTAGGGACATGTTAGGTTAGGTAAGGTTAGTGTTAGAATTAATGTGAGAATTAGAAACGTGAGTTTATCAAATTTATTTAATTCCATTCACAGTATTAATTTTGTTAATCCTAATTGCTTCAGCTAATTAGCATATGACATAATAAAATTAAAGGATTATTATTACATTGATCAAATTTTTGCCCTGCATTGGTACAACTTTAAAAATCCCTAGAAAAGGAAAACTTGAAATTTTTATTTTCTAAACGAGAAGGGTTTTTTTTCTTGAAAATAGGGCAAGATATTTCCATGCAAAATTATATAACAGTTTAGTACTAAAAGCATGTAAAATACCCAAACAGAAATGTCTTCTCCTAAATTGTGTTATAACAAAATGAAACTAAATAAAACATCGTTATCAATATGTAGTGTGCATGCACTGTAATAAACCATAAAAATTATTATGTAGAAAATTACAGTTCAAATTCTAAAAAAACAAAGTGTTCAAAACTAAACATACTAGAACAGCATAGACAAAATATTGTAATTCAAAATAAATAACATAAAATAAGACATTCCAATTCCACACATAAGACAAAATACTACAAAAGAAGTATAAATAATTGTGGATTTAAACTAAATATGTTGTGTATGTGTGTTTGGTAATGATATTTTAAAAAAAAATTATCATCAGGCAGCAAAAAAAAAAAACAAAAAAAACTTTTCCATTTTTTAATCATGTATAATTGCCTTTTGGTATCTAAACCACATTTTGAAACTTTTTACCACAGGTACAGACTAGAGTACAAGGGAAACACTGAAGGGTACAAACATATAAAATTGAAATTAGTATACCTAGTTCTGCACTTTCCCTCAATCGAGCTAATCTCAGGAGTTCTTCATGCAGACGGGCATTTTCTTCAATTTGCTGCCTTCTTCGGGCAATTTCTGCTTTAATTTTTGCTTTTTTCTGTTCACGACTCATTTGATCTTCCTCCTCATCACTACCATACGGTGATGGCTGCCAAGATCGTGGCTTATGGTGCTTTCCAATATCTCTCCTTCTTAAGTCTAAGCTGTCACTGTAACGTCGCATTTCATACCTTTAAAACAATTCACAATTTACAAGAAATGAAACCAACCAACTATAAAACTACAATAATATTTATAAGACATCAATATTTTAAAATCATGCTACATTTAATTCGATTTTCAAATAAACCCCTTCTCTCTCAATATATCTTTTAATCCACAAGGATTAATACAAAAAGAAAATTTATTACTTATACATACTCTAAAACTTATTAATCAACAGAGGAAATGTCTTATTCAGCTTTAGAATCTCATTTTGTTCATGATTTTTCGTTATTTTTTTAGCTCATATTTTTTAAACAACATATTCAATCTCAAGTTTCCTCTAATTTTATTGATTGTTAAATATGTTTAAATTTTTATACCTTGAATAATAGTGACAGTTGAATAATAAATATTTACATTAAAACATTTCTTATCATCTAAAGTAGGCAAATAATCCAGAAAGTAAAATAGATATTTTTATATGACACATACATTTATTATATAACATTTAACTGCATCAGCTAATGCAACAAATTTGTCATTTTCTTGCATACTAAAACCAAATTTCCTGTCATGAAGATGTATGCAAGAATTAAGCATAAAGTTTTTTTTTGTTAATGTAAAAATAACTTCAGCGACTTCCATCATAAAACCATTGGCAATTTAAATAATAACAATAATAAATAAATAAAAGGCTCGATTGTCGTGAGTGACCAACAATTTATACAATTCTTTGCATATAAGCATGACATTTAAATTTATTTTGTTTTAGATTAAGTTTATTCTAGCCATTTGAAAACTGTGCGACTCGCATAAGATATTAGACTTTTTTTTGAAAAAGATAAATACATTTGGACTTAATTGTTTATGAAAAATGTACTGTATAAATATAATAATTTTTATTGATCATTACAAAATACAAATATATTTTCTACCAATGAAAATTATATAAATAATTGAGGTGAATTTTCTGTGTATTTTCAACATGAAAAAAGCATTGTGAATGATTTCACTCCACTTAGGTTTTTATAAAAAAAAAAAAAAAAAAAAACCTTGGTATTTTGTTTTAGTGTATAGTTTAATTTTAAATTGTGTTTTTGTCATAGTTTAATTGGTGCATGTAATTAATAAAAAAAGTCCAATTATTTTAATGAAAATTTATATTTTTTACCTAAGTTTATATTTGCCGTTAAAAATTCAATTGAAAAAAAAAAAGGTTTTGTTAATCGAGACTGTTACAATGTCATTTTGAAACAAAATTAAAAAAAGCACATTCATAGAAAATCATATTACAATCATAACATTATTTTTGCATAGAAAGTAAATTAAAAAAAAAATAACAATGAAATAAAATTGTGACTATTTAAAGACCAATTGCAATTAAAATCTGCCTGATTATGTAATTATGAAAAAAAAACCAGGAGATTAAATTTTAGAAGTAACATATGTACACAGATACAGTAGTAGAAAACCGTTGCAGTTTCTGACTCAATTTTTATACAAATAAATAAACGTTTCACTCTCCTAAAGACTAATAGGCTATTATTGCAAGTTGGACTCAATAGAAACTGTCAAAAAGGATGAGAATCGATAATAAAAAAATAAAAAAAAGATGCATTTAACGGAATGAAAAAAATCACAATTTCTTTCTCTAACAGTTTCTTGAAAAATAATAGAATGCTCATTGAAACTTTTCAGTTGTTAGCTTAAAATTTAAAAACAAAGTAATATATCAGGCTAATATAAATATATAAAAAAATATAAGTGCTTATACAAAGATAACGATTTTTCCTCTTCTATTTAGTTCAAAGGAAAAAAATTCTGATTGACAATGTGAGAGATTTGAAATAATCTGGCTCACCTACTGTGATAATGAACAAATGAATTGTCTGTTGTAAGGCATGAAATTTATTTGTCAATACTGATCACAATGTTACGTTGCAATCAATACAACAAAATTCATGAGTATATAGAAGTATAATGTTATCAGATTATTTAAAAAGAAGAAAACAAACGTGTCCAACCATTTTGTATTTCAATGTATTTTTATAAAAAAATAATTTCCATTAAATACAAAGTATAATAAATAAACAACACACAAAAAGAGATAGCAATTTTAAGCTTCATGCATGTATAGAAACAGGCTTCAAAATCAACTACATAAATTTGAAGTAGCAAAAATTATTCAATTGAGAGCTTATGGATATGAAAAGAAAATTAAATGTGCACATGGATCAGAAGTTCTGTATCATATTAGAACATGCAGTAAGGATTCAAATTTAACATGACATTCCATATGTTATGATGATGATTTTATTTTCAAAAATAAAAGTAAGCTATGATATGTAATTGTGAAAAATTATCTCAATTTCAGTACTATCTGACAGATTTTCCAATTCGCAAATTAACTACTTAAAATAAATAGATAAAAAACACAACTGAAAACATTTCTGCCCTTTGATAACTATCTTTCACAATTTTTTTACTATAATTTTTTAATAAAACAAAATTCACTGTCATTAATAAATAATTAGTTAATTCAGGAATGCCAGAAAAAACCTTAATTTACTGTTTCATTTCAGTATAAAATTAGAAAAACATATCTAAAATGGATAAAAATGTTTATAAAAGTTATTTATACTTTTAAATGCGAAGTTGTATTGACCCCATCACATTGATGTGTTCGTTGCTCAATATAATATAGTTTTGGTGTGTACACAAGTGATAAAGATCAAGCACAAAAGGTTTTCTCAAGCCAAGGATAATTAAAACAAATTGCAAAATATAAAATGCAATTATAAATTATTTATTAAAGAAAAAAACCGCATGGGAGATAGCACAATGTATTTACCATTTGCTTAAAATTTTAAAGGGTGAAAAACTGTTTGCTATGCTTGAAAGTGTAGAATAAAATTGAACTCCCCCCCCAAAAAAAAAAATCATCAGTACACAGAAAAACTAGTATATAAAAATCTGTACCTAAAAAATTTATGCTACACTAGTAATATAAGATGTAATTATAATCGCTATAGACTGCATTTGGCTTAAAATAATAGTCAAGTAATTCCTATCACAATCAAGTCCAACTTATATGACGTCAATGATGGGACGGAACTTTCAAATTTTTCCAAATTTATCTCGAATAAACTTCAAAGAGCAGTGGCAGAATTCGAACTCAGCCCTGTGGCAATACCAGTTTGACGCTCTAATCGTATGGTCAAGGGGGTTACCATCTCGAAACAATTTAAATTTATTAAAAAATTTTCAACCGTGTAATTATTTCAAGAATGACAGTTTTGTTTTTATTCTGAGTAGTGTACACATAAATTTCATTTTAGTTACTTAATCGATTAAAACTACTTTTCAAAATTCAAATTAGAACTGATTATTTTTTCTTAAATATTAGCCAGAGAAATGATGCTTGATAGCCCGACTGCAGGGTCTATAAGCCGAGAGTTAAAACTAACGGAAGGAAAAGCTTGCTGAAGAACAGCAAAAAAATCAAAGTCTCTTGGTGTAAAATATCTTTTTCACAATTCAGAAAACCACAACAACAAACTTAAACAGGCCGAATAAATTTTAAAAATAAAATAAAAATAACATGGTAACTACAGGCGGAAAGCACAAAACAAATGAATATTGTAATTGCAAGTTTTTTTCTTCTGTTACCTACATACACTTATTCTTACATGCGGTTCTACAATTGATCATTTTTTATATGTAAAATGCGATGAAATGTTTCAAACTTGGATGGTCTTTTTTTTTTGGTAATAATTTGCATAATTATTTCACTTTTGGAATTAGCCACTTATTATAGAATTAACTTCAACTTCATACACATATATAAACACAATGTAGAAAATTTAAATTTTTAAATTTTTTTTCAATAATGATTGCGTGACAAAGTAATAAATACAGGGCCATAACTTTTCAAGCTCATAAACTAATTCTAGAGCAAGCACTAAGATGGCTAGCAATTGGTTAGTTAATGAAGTTTTTCTTTTTTTAAATGGATTGTTGTGTGTTTGGAATAATTGTCAAGCTTTGAATCAAGACATATTTCATTGTAATAAATCAAACTGTTTTTGTTCAATAAAAAAATAAATAAATATATGACATACTGCATAAAATATACAAAGCTCACCAAATAGTATTTGTTATGGTATTAGACTCCATTGGATATAGCGTGTTAGACATTAATTATAAAATTAGAATTCAGAATTAATCAGCACAAAAGTTTAGGTGTTTTTCAATAAATATAATAATGTAAAACTAGGTCTAATTCTAATCGAACTTATAAGTTTGATTTTTTCTTAAAATTTAGTTTCATTATTTTATCTGTATCTGCATATCTAAAAAATAACCAATTGGACATTTTTCATCAAAGATATATTAAATCAAATACAGGATAAACAAACTATTGAATGATATTTAAAATTGTAATAAAGTTACTTGAGCTAACAACGCTAATGAAATTGTCGATTAAGAAAAGTGCAATGATTTTTTTTTTTAATTGGTAAACATTATCGTTTTAGTAAATTTCAATTCACCAAGAGAATCTGGGCAAATATTGCACATGGTAGAACTGTAATAAAATATTTAAACAAAATATCTTGAAAATGTCAAATGATCGTCAGCAACATAATGAACACTGCAATATGTGATATAATATGTTACAGAAGGATGAGTTTAATATTAATACTAAATCAAAATTTTATCAATGGATTTTTTTCAAATTTTGGTGAACTTATTTGTAAACGGATGTTTCGCAAATTGCAAATTAATGTCTTCTTTCATGTCATAAATTCATAGTTGTAATTAACAAATTGTTATTTAATAGATGCATCAATTTTTATTCTTTAAACTAATATACAGTTAGTAAAAAAAAGTTTGCATACAATTTCAGTACATCATGCTGAGGTTTAAATCAATGGTAAAAAAAAAGTGTCAGGAAAATAATTTTCATAAAAAATAGACTCTTGTTATCCACGCTTTCATTCATCCGTCGTTGCCCTCCTAAATAAGTTCTAGAGGAGATCGATGACAGAAGAGGATAAAATAGAAGAAAACAGGAATGGACAATAAAAAAAATTTGGAGAAATCTTTCAATTCAAAAAGTTGAAAGACAAAATCACAGAATATGATCCAATAATGGAATTGGATCCATCAACGTAGCACAACTGCTAACTCAAGCAATGAACCCTCTCCAACAATTTGTCCAGCGGTTGAAAAGCCAGACAAAGCAGCCTCCTATAACAATGTCTTTGAGAAAGCTGAAAGAGCAAACTTCGCTGAATCATCACTAACTACTTCTAACTGTAGAATTTAATTATTTTTTTATTTTTTATGTTATCTTTTTTTAGGCCCCTGATAATTTTTTCTCATTTGTTTCGATGTCATGGATACCTGTTGATGTATGTATGTATATATTGTTCTGCATGGGATAAACTATGTTATCTTATTAAAAAAAAGTGTACATAAGTTCATACTTGACTTTAGGAAAACGTAATACAGAAAGTGTTTGATTGGTATGCAGATAGAAGAAAATGTTTTTAAGTCAGAAATCCGAGGTGTTACTTGTTATCCGCTGTGGTGCTTGGTATAACCCTGCGGATAACGAGAGTTTACTGTAATGTTAAACAATAAATTGAATTTACATGCAAAACTTTTCTTTAAATTGTTCCTAAAACCTAAATGATAACGTGAAAGTTATTAATGAAACACGTAACAAAAAAGTCTGCATACAATGTAAAACTTTTGGCAAAATTAGTTAACTTGTGAAATTAATAATCAGTAAGGCCTCCTTCATTATATTGTGCATTTATTGAATTGTGTGTTATATTATATTTTACACGGTTTTTCTTTTTTAAATTGTAATTTTCAAATTAGTTTATTATTAACAATAAAACAAATTTATTTTATTTTCAAACAAACAATTTATTTTAAAAAATCTTATTTTGTATTTGTTTAAATTTGTTAAGTCAACAAGATTTTATTTTTGTTTTTATTATATAAAAAGGTAATAGTTCATTTGCCTAATAAATAGTTAGAGAAACTAGGGTTGCTCTTGCCATAACAAGTAGTAGATTGAGAGCAGTCGTGGCATCTACTTTTTATACAATCAAACAGTTAACAGATTGGCAAAAAAAATTTTTGTTTCTTTTTGTATGATCATTTTATTGAGATTTTTCTATTTTTATTTCAAATAATTGAATTTGGTTTGTTTACTTTAAAGAAACGAATGTTAATTTTTTGTGAGTATATTTTGATTTTGATTTTATTTCTACTATTTCCATATATGATAAATAATATTTTTTTATTAATGTCTCACTCAGCACGTATCTGAAAAATGGTACCATATGCCTCCATTATAATATTGGTATGTGATGCCCTCCATAATTTTCAATCTAACAACCCCTTATGATACCATACACCCCATATCGTTGTCCCTCCACTGCTTCACTGCCGCACACAAATTTTGACTCATCACTAAAAATTACATGTGGTGATTAGTGACCGTTAATCGATATTTATTTAGAAATCGTGAGATGCAGTCTGGTGTGATGTAGGTTTCAGAAAAACATTTTCTTTATCGTGCCAACGTTTCGATCTTTATTGAGATCATCTTCAGGGCTCAAAGTGTTTGTCTTCTGTGTAATTGTGTCATTCTTGCGTGTCATGTCGAGAGTGCCAGAAAAATCTCAATGCCACTCTGGACACAACACGCAAGAATGGCACAATTATACAGAAGTCAAACACTTTGAGCCCTGAAGATGACCTCAATAAAGATCGAAATGTTGGCACAATAAAGAAAACGTTTTTCTGAAACCTAAATCACACCAGACTGCATCTCACGATTTCTAAATAAATTACTAATTAATAATTCTAAAAAAATTACACTGTCTTAAAAATTACAATTTTGCAATTTCAACTCTCTTTTTCTTTTAACTGAAGAAGGGCTTTTTATGGGCAGATCGTGCGCTAAGACCACATTTTTTAATAATATTACAAACCGTTCGAGGTGTTACATGAATGCCATAATCCCTTTGAAGATCTCCAGGGGCATGAATAGAAGACTCACAATTGACACATTGAAGAATTATTCTTTCGTGAGGTCTCTCTAATTTCTTTGGCCGCCCCAAGAGATGCTTATTTTCCAAAGTGTCTTTACTTCTGGATGATTGCTTGTACAGTTGACTGACTTTTGCGAACAAGTTTTGCAATTTTACATAACCATTTTCCAAAATAACGATGTTGCACTAGCAACCTCCTAATTTCAACCGATGATTGTATGATTGATTCTCAAGTATTATTAACTAAATTTGAAAATAAAAGGAGTTAAGAATGTTTTGATGTTGTTGAAAAGTAATTGAACCGAAGGTGTGGTCAAACTTATTTTGCATACACAAATCTCAATTTTACATCATTTAATAAAAAAAATTAATATCCATTTTTCTATACAAAACTAATACAGGCTTAACATTTACAAATATTAAGTATAGCATGATTAAAAGAAGGTGGAAGCGTCAATGAGCCAGGTTGGCAGAGATGCTCTCGCATATCAAGGGCACTGTCAATAGGTGGTCCTCAAAGGACCTGACTCACCCGATTAAGAATAGGCCAAGTTGACACTTTTGGGCCAAAGCATGAGTATGTGTCTGGCATGTAGATAAAAGGTTGTTTGATGACTGCAGGCAATTCCTTGGCTCTAAATAGAGTGTGTAGGAGTGCCACCCGAAGTGAGAATCATGCTTGAAATGAGTATCTGGATTCCTTGTTCTGATTTCATTGTATAAAGTACTGATATACTAATAGTTTCCTGAACTGTGTGTTGAGAGTGAATGTATTTATTGTCTTGAAAGTGTGGAGTGAGAGGGCCAATAGTCGACTATTGTGACCATTGACTCTCAATTAAGTTTAGTTGTAAAGGATAATGGAGGAATATCGAGTACTCCACCACCCTAATTGTATGAATGGTATGTAAATAAGAAAGGATGTATTTAAGAATGAACGAGAGAGGTTTTGGATCTAGGAACTGAGTGTGCTGGGTGCTGACATAGCTGTTGACAGCACTCACAGCCCAACCTCGGTGGCTGGACAAATAAGATTGAGGTCTGTCCCCGTTCTGTTAACACCCGTGATGGGTGATTCTCAAGGCCTTCTGGTAATTTATTGTAAATTGCAAAAGATAGAATTGCCAGTTGACTGCAATAAGTAACTCAACTTTGTAAATGTGTGCATCATATATATATGTACATCATGTCCAGATTTGAGCTTATTGCTAATTGAGCTTATTGAATTGCTCCTGAACATCTGAACATTCTTCAAGATATTGAAAATTCTATAACATTTTTAAATTGAAAGTCATGCATGCAAGCATAAACACTCATAAATTATTTATAACAGTGAAACATTTAGAAATCTATCTAAAACCTCAATTATTATTAGAAGTAAGTTATGAAAATATGATAAAAGTCCATTGTAAAATGGAAGAAGATCTTAAGATAATCTATTTTCTTCGACTGCCTTTATTTTCTGAAGAAAACTGAATTATTTATTCTTCAACAAAATATAGTGACAAACTTGTCACCATAATCCCCGACACAAATTATGTGTTAAAATAAAAACCCAATAAAATCCTAATTCGTTGTGTAAAAAGCAAGATATGCCATTGTCCATAGATCTTGTTATCAACACATCAGGATTCTTGTGGGGAGGCACTGCTGTCGAGTGGAAACACTTCCAACGCACAACTCGTAATTGAAATAATCACGTCATACTTAATTCAGAAATCAGCCAATTTCTGGCGGTATTCATAACACCGGGCAAAATCAAAATTCACAAGTTAGCTTGCTTCCTAGAAACAAAATGCTGGAAGGAATATTCCTGACGAAAGCCAACAAGTGTATGCAGACTTATTTTACTAACTGTGAGTAAAAACAACTAGTAACTGTTTATAATTTACAAATTTACCTAATATTTAAAAAAGAACTGAAGTTATGTGTATTTATGAATTGTCAAGTAGATTGTTGTATCATTGCACCTTTATTTTATAATTTATGACATTTTTTCATTTTGATTATTTATTAAATAAATTTTTAAAAACTGAAGGAACACATTTTCAATTGAGATCTTCACGTATTTGATAACACAATCCGTACACAGGAAATAAATCATAAAAAAAATAATATTGTCCCCTCTAGCACTTAACAAATGTTTTATTGTTTAAACTTAATGTTGACTAAATTTCTAGGAAAGCTTGTCAGTCAATGGATGACACCACTGTTGTTATCCATCAATTTAATGCAAAATTATCAGAAGAATAAAATAGTTTGTGGATTTAAACGTTTTTACTCACCTCATTTGGTCACTGTGGTCTTTATCTAGGACACTGTTGATGGCCGTTTCTCTCAGGGCTCCTCCGGCAACAGCATATGAAGCCAGGTAAGGATGCGAAGTATCCCATTCTGCCAGTTTTGAATCATCGATAGATTCATATTCAAAAGATTTGTAAGGAGGCCGTAACGAAGGATGAGGTACTTCATAATATCCTTGTGAATACTAATAAAAAAATTCATTTTTTATGTATTATCTAATTTTAAAAGAAAGATTGGCAGATTTAGGTAAAATTTCTTACTCGATTGTATTGCGAATCTGTTCCATCTTTTAATGGGCCCATTTCCAAGTTTAATTTGGGGTCAGAAAGTTGCCTTCGATGTGTTCTTAATTTCCTGCTTCGCCCAATTCCAGAATAGACCATTTTTCTTTGAATATCAAGCCTAAAATATGTAAGTTTAGTTATGGAAAATTAACATTTATGTGCTGGTATTGGTTGATCTGTGATGTATCCATTCAGGTATAATAATCCATTTGTGTAATAATTTAAATTTATTAACAGACCTTATTACCAATATTTTCTTTTATCAGGTCATAAAATAAGTCAGTAGCATTCTTTTTTAACCAATTTTATTTATTTCAAAGGTACAAATAGGGCATTAAGCCTCCTTACATGTACATATCTTAGAAACAAATTTAGTTTTATAAATAATTAATTAAGGTTTTTAGTTGAGATAAAAAAGTCAATGGCATGAGCGGGATTCGAACCCACGATCTTTGGCTTATCTACTCCAGGCCGCTGCTCTACCACTTGAGCTATCGTGACCTTGATCCACTCGGACACTGACTTCCCATCTCAACCCCACCTTTTGAATTTAATTGGTCAAGCGGACTACAAAATTAGTGAATTTATAAATAATAATAAAATCAATAATAATAGTAATAATATCTCTATGAAATCAGAATACTCAACAAACATGTGGTATTTGTTTGGGTTCCTAGTCATGTCGGCATTTCTGGAAATGAAAAAGCTGATCAACAGGCAAGGAACGCTGCAAACCATCCACAAAGAACAGATCAATTTCCTCTCCGTCCAGATGATATAGTCGTTTATGTTAAAAACATTATCAAACGAAAGTGGGCAGCAAGATGGAATGTAGAGATAGTATGAAAGAAATTAAGCCAGTTGTACATAAATGGCCAACTGAGGAACTTGAGAGAAAAGAACTTGTGATTCTCTCTAGATTGCGAATAGGCCATATCAGGCTAATCCATAATAGGCAACAACCTTCCAACTTGTCCTCGATGTATGCGAAGTGGAGAACGCATCATTTTGACAGTAAAACATATTTTGGTCGACTGTCCCACTTTACAACCCTTTAGGCAAAGGCTCAACCTTTCGAGTGATTTACAGGAGTTACTGGGTCCCCAGTGTTTCTTTCGAAGTGCGCTTTTCGGCTTTCTCAAATTTATTGCAATTTATAATGAGATTTAGGCCTTTTCCCAAATTGTTATACCATTGAATGCCTGCTAATGTTTGAATGAGAGTTGCAAGATTTCTTTTTTCAGAAGTTTTTGAGGCTGCCGGAGCGGAAAAATGAAATGGAAGAAAATACAAATTGCGGGGTAATGAACTGCAATGCCTAAAATCGCAATTTAAATAAGAAAAATAGCTCCCTCAAAAAAAAAAAAAAAAAAAAAAAAGAAGTGTTATTGTGTTTTGTTTCTTATTATTGTTATGTAGAATTAGTTTATGTATCATATTTGAATGGAAGAATAAAAGGATAAGGATGAGCCTATACTCTGACTGTTGCTAGTCTGACTCCATTATTATTATTATTATTAGCCATACAAGCCTATGGGAAATGTTTAAATTATGGAACAAAAATTCACAATTCTAATCAAAAAAGAAACAGAAATAAATTTTATATGTAATTTAAAATGGGATTTTTGCATACATTTGGCCTTCCAAAGTAAGAATTTTAAAAAGAAAAAAAGATAAATTAAAGCTTGGATGGCAATAGGATAAATAAGATTACAAGTGAATGTTCGGAGTCAGAGCTTTATAGCACTCAGAAGAGATATAGCTAACCTAAGATAGAAGGTTTGGATGTCAGGGCGTGAAATGACCTTAGCTGTTAAAACGCCCTTAAAAATTAATAATAATAATAGTAATAAAACATACAAAATGTTATATAGAGAGTGTGTAAGAAAGCCACCCAATATGAGAATCGTGCTTGAGCACATCAGAAAGTTTCTAGCTCCCCTGTTCTGATCTTTATAGGAAAAATGGCTGTTTTATTATAACATCGACTCTCAATTAGGTTAGTAATAAAATAAGTGTAAAGGGTGATGGAGGAAGAGTCTAAGGAAAGTGAAAAAATAATGCTACAGTAAGGGAATAAATTATTAGGGATTTAATAAGGAAAACTGTGGAGCGAAAAATCTAAGTCGTCTAAGAGAATGGAGGCTTCAGTAGACCCTTTTAATAACAGAGCTCACACGGTCATGCCATGGATAAAAGTAACGCCGAGATTTTTAACTTTAGGACACAAATTAATAAGGGAGATGTTGATATGAGGAGAGGATAGGCAATCTGTATTATGGGATTATTGGAAATTTTTAAGGATTGGGATTTGTTAGGACGAAGACCACGGGTGAGCAGAGTTTCAGAGATCTTGCTTGCAGGACATTGAATATAAAGTTGAGTGTCATCAGCATTCAGATGAAATTGGGAGAAATTGAAAACTAATGGAAGATCATTTAGAAACATGGAAAATAGTAAAGGTCCATGAATAGAGCCTTGGAGTACACCATCTGAAATTGATAGAGAAGAGGAGAAAGAATTTGAAGATTTAACTTTCTGAGTTCTGCCAGACAGATTAGTAGCAGTAGAAGAAAAACTGACAATTTTTTTTAATGGACACTATCAACAATGGAGTCACATCAACCTCCAACGCACTCTGAGGGCCGATGGAGTATTCGACATTCTGCCATCCTCTCACTTTTTCATTCACACAAACAAACAAATATATACATACAAAGTGTAGAGGTACACATTAATCATATATAATATTTATGATATTTACAGATGCAACCTACTCTTGTGACCAAGGACGGTCTTTATGTCGGGCGCCATGCCTACTAGCTCTCTGTAAGGGGCCAAGGCGTGGCACTCCTGAACCAAAAGTGATACACTGAGCAACCTGTCTCTACAAATGGGACACCTGCACAGTGTTTGTCCGACAAACAGGTGTCCATTTAATTTGGTACTCCAAAAGGTGTGCACAAATTCCTTGCAATTCAGACCTTTGGCGGGCCATCGCTCAGTCATGCTTTTGACACGCAAGAGCTTGTCATACGATTCGGTCCATTGATGCAGCCAATGTTCTTTTAGTGCGTTCTTTACTGCTTGTAAGCGTCACCAGGCAGGATTGTGGTGGTTCTGTCTAGAGAACAAGACGTCCCAGCTTCAGCCACCTCATCGCACGTCCATTGCTCTCAATAAACAAATTATGATTTACAGAGCCAAATGTGTTGGAAAAATCCAGTTGAACAATAATAGTATACTTATCATCAATGCCTAGTTGGATATCTGAGATTTTGATTTAATTAACAATATATGATTCAATTTTCCTAGCAGGTTTAAGACTTCAGTAGACCCTTTAGTATTGGGTTGTCCGGAAAATAATGCAGGATTTTGGTATTAAACAAAAAAAAAGAAACTAGTTACTTTAAAGCAATGTTCTTTAATCAAAATAATTTCCCANTAAAATCCTGCATTATTTTCCGGACAACCCAATAATTCAAATCCAAACAATGCATTATTTTCCCTTCATTTTAAATTATCAAAACATCTTGTAAAAAATTCAAATGAAACTGAATAAAAACAACTCAACCCTTTTCAGAATGTGTAAACAATACATAAATAAACATTGCTTCAAAAAACAAGAAGGATAAAATTGAATTATTGAAAAACACTACAGACTTATTTTACAAGTTAATAATTATCTCACAGTTAACTTTTTTTTTAACACCAAAAACTGACAGAAGCCTGTACCTGTTTTTAGGATTTCTTAAAAGTTCTTTATTGCGTTGCAATATTCTGTCTGTTTCCCAATCAACATTTGATAGTCTATTTCCTAATCCTCTCCTCTCAGGCATGGATAACTTGACATCACTGCTTAAATGGTCTTTGTACGATTGAAATAGGTGCTGTTGACACACAACTGTATTACTAAATGGCATTTTTAGACATCATGAATATTGCTAAAAAATAGAACATTTTACTAGTAAAATTGTTATTGTCATCTTTTGTAAAGGTGCTCTTTGTAAATCCTGTGGTGAAAGAGAAATTCACAGATTTTGTTGCTTTTTTTGAATTGGGGGTAAAGTAAATTGCCTACCTGCTTTGAGTATGAAACGTCCGGATTTTTGTATGATGATAGAAGATGCCTCAAATCAGGGGGAAGGCAAGAGGCAATTTCAGAATCCCTACTGTAATCAACTCTGAGACCACTGCTGCTTACTACACTCGAGCCTGTAAAACATTTTAACGTTAAAATAGTAAAAAACTTAAAAATAAATTAGGGGACTGTGATGGCCAAGTGTTCAGGCCGTGAGACTTGTATTTGTCACGCTAATGGTTCTGGGTTTGAATCCCAGCAGAGCCCATGAAAAATGTATTGCAAAGTGGTTTGACCCCCCATAATTGACCCCCTTGGGTAGTTGGTCATTAAGCCCTACTATATGAAAGGAATATTAATTTTTACTTTATTACATAAACTATAATTTGTGTTTTTATTTATATAAATATAAGGACTTGATTATTTTTAACATGTTTATAATTTATTGATGTTTTTAATAATATTTTTTCACTTATAGAACGTTTTTTCCTTTACAGAACACTCAAATGCCAGAGCCATTATTGAGGTGGACATTTTTTCTAAATAATTCTGATTGTTTAAATCTGGTGACAATAGAACGTTTTTAATTTAATCTCTCTCTATCTCTCTCTCTCAGGCAGCCCCATTTCAATGAGCAGGAGCTCAAAAGGGCAATTCCGCAATAAAAATACGTAATAAATTACTATGGAGTTCATGAACTAAAAAACCCTATTGTATAACAAATTCATAGTGTATTTTAAGTAAATTTTTTAGAACTTGCGTACCTTGAAGTAAACCTAATGCAGAACCCGGTCTAGGTACAGAATCTGGGCCGTAAGCTGATATTTTCCTAAGATTGGTTTCACTTGAACTAGGCCTTTGCAGCATTAAATTTGATGAAGTTAGTTTGTAGCTACCATCCGAATATTGCCTGAGAGGAGAATATGATCTGTAAAAAGAAGTCAATTAATTTACACGCATTTATATATTTTCAAATAATTCATTACCGAAATTTGTCGTGTGGACTCTTTGATTTTGTTCTCTTCTTTGTATTTTGAAATGAGATCGCTTCTTGGTCGGATGGTATGGATGGTAGTTTTCTTCTAGTCCTTAATGATTTTTGGGAATCGGTTTCACTCATTGTATCTGAAGAATCACCTCCATCCCTTGCACCCCTTGGTGTACCGACGGGCGTACTTTGTGGAGTCCCTAGTGGAGTAACTACTAAATAGATGTATCAGTGGTTTATCATTAAAATTACCAAGATTAATTTTTAAAAATTTAAATTGTCCTACCCCCAAGTAAGCTATTTGGCACGATTTGATTGTTAATTAGTTGGACAGGCACTGATGGTTGACTCAAAAACTGAGCTGCCATCATCTGTTGGATAGTGACACCTGAACCTACCGCCTGGCTCTGGCCAATCATATTAAGATTGCTTTCTTTTTTCTGCATCTAAAATGAATGGTAAATGCTTGTAAACACTCTATAAGAACACTGGCTGTAATGCAATTTACTTGTAAATGAATGAAATACAAATAATTCGCAACATTTACTGTGTAATGAAAGCTTAAAATATGTCATAGATGAATATTTCTCATTATAATTATGTACTAGTACACTGTCACACCTGAACATCACAAAATTTCTGAAACTCTTACTGTCACTGTATTAGAATGTACTATATGGTAGAACATGTTAGTCTTTTGCCCCCTTAGTTTACTGAATATTGAATTAATAACAAAATGTTCCAAACTTTGGAAGATTAGTTTTTTATAAACATTGTATTACGGTTAGTTTCTTATTTAAACATTTTCATTTTTACATTCAATATTATTAGCAGATTTTGAGTTATTCGTCTTCAAGTTTTCTATTCTTTGTTGCTCTTTTCCTGCCCAAGTGGTTTTACTAATTTCTTGAGAACATTAACCAATTTTGCACCCTTTTTGGTGTAATGTAAAAAAGGGATTAGGAATTTTTTTATGTATGCCAGAAAGGATCGAGGATAACTATAGATGGCTGCGATCGATGTTAAATTAGCTAAATCCGTTCAAATTTTCTTTTCTTTATTTTAGTTTATTATTCTTCAATTTATTTATTTTTTAATTTTAAGTTTGTTTTTTAAAATAGTTTCAACTGTGTTGTGTGCTTTTCTCATGTGATCCTTTTGATCTTCTTTTCTGTTTCTCTTTCTCTTTTCAACATATCACCATTTTGGTATATTTGGGTACTATGCAAATCTTTGCCTCAATATTAGGGTGGTATAGCTTTGTATTCATTTATTTATTTTTAACATGGATATGTTTTTGTTATTGCTTTCGCATTATACCAGTTTGGGATCCTCATCCAGGGTTGGATGAGGTTAGTTTGGGTTAGGAATGATTAGGTTAGGTAGGGTTAGGTTACATATCCAAGATTCTATGTTTTTACACAAAGTGGAGAAAATATAAGAGAAAAATTAGTGTCACGAGTGGGATTTGAACCCTTGACCTTCAGCTCAATATGCTGGTGCTGTAACCACTTGAGCTATCATCTCCGCTCATGACACTAATTTTTCTTCCCAACCGTCTTTGCATAAAAAATTGGAAATAATAATTGACAATAAACCGATTACAAATCAAATCAAATATAAGAGTACAGTTTTATTTANTCCGATTGACCAATTAACATTTTTCAATTAATTAATATTTATGAAAGGTATTGGTTGAGATAAAGGAGGGAAAATTCGAATTAATTATTATTCCAATTTTTTATGCAAAGACGGTTGAAAAGAAAAATTAGTGTCATGATAGCTCAAGTGGTTACAGCACCAGCATATTGAGCCGAAGGTCGTGGGTTTGAATCCCGCTTGTGACACTGACTTTTTTATCTCAACCAATACCTTTCATAAATATTAATTAATTGAAAAATTTATTATTATATTTTTTCCTAGTATCAAATAAGTTCCTCCTTTTATTTTATTCAATTAGAATTTTTATAAACTAAAAAACTCAAACAAAAAGAATAAAATGTCTAATTTTTTAAAGAATTATTTATACAGCGTATACTATTCAAATTAATTTAATTCTTTTTTTATATATATCAAAGGGTTGAAATAAAAATAATCAGATAATACAAATTATTAACTATTCTTTACTAATTGTATATCAATATGATTGACCGCCAGAATAAGAAAACTAATCTTACTAATCTCTGCAGCTTGGAACATTTTGTTTACTTAATTTTTAAAAACTATAATTTTATAGAAGGCAAATGGTGCTGTTTACAACATGCCTTTGGTTTTGAATCCTACCCATCTTTTTATCTTTTTTAATTTTTATAACTGTTGTGACAGTTAATTATCCCTTTTAATGAGAATGTCACATATGTAATGTAATTTACAGTTAAAATTTGGAGGTTATCTATAAAACATGATAATGCAGAATGTGTTTCAAGTAAATCACAACTATGTTACATAGAATCAGAAATGATTGTTTTAACAAATGAAAATGATTATAATAATGAGCAGATCTTGAAATAGTAATATTAAATCAGAATTGTTGAATATGTCAGTTTTATATTTACTGATATTGCTAAATGTACGTTGTTTGTTTCAGTTCAATTGCCAAATAATATTATTTATGACAAGATAGATACAAAATGTATGCTATTTACATGTATGTCTATTTAAATACCTGCATTTGTTTTTGTTGATCTGCTGATGAATGTGGTAATGAGCGTTTGATTTTTTTTAAGTGCTGTGCGTGATGCTGCAGTTGCATGTGCTGCTGGTACATTTGCTGCTGTTGTGGCGTAAGGTTCTGTGCAAACATGGGTTGGTGTTGTTCTGTTAGTTTTTGATATACTTGTTGTTGTTGCTGTAAAAGTAGAGCCTTTTGTTCTTCAAGCGAATGTGGGTACTCATCCTTCATCAGTCCTTGTTTTTGTTGCATCTGCTGTACCATCATTTGCCCCTGTTGCATTTGATTTTTTTGAAAGTGCTGGTGAATCTCTTGCTGTAGAAGTTGGTGCTGTGTAAATTGACGGAATAAAAACAATTTAGACAAATGTAAAATTGAATTTAGCAAATTTATTAATTCTGACCTGTTTTTGATCCATTTTATTTTGTTGCATTTGGTTATAATGCTGTTCATTGGTGTTTGTACTTTGCTGTCCACTGTGAATAAACTGCTCATTCGCTCTTATTTGTGCTTGTATTTTTTGCTGTGAAAGTGTCTTTGGGCTTTGAGCCTGACTCATCTCTTGATTGTAAGATGAATTTTCTTCTTCCTTCTCTTCAGGATATTGTACAGATGGTGATGTATTACTTAAACCTAAACCAGAAAAATGTATTATTTTGTATTTATCGTGCTGATTTTAAAAAAATATAACATTAAGTGCATAATTACCAAGAGCTCGACTGAAATCTGCTAACATTCCACTTATTGTACCTGCTGTTGGTTTTGATTGTGTGTTACTTTGTGTTGTTGCTGGTTTTTCAGGTTCCATATCAACCTAAAAATTCAATTTTTCTAACATTTTATGTTAACATTAACATAATGTTACTACGCATTTTGTTATTCATTGAAATTTTTTGAATTATTTTAACATTTATTGTTATGTATCTAATAAATAATATGAAAAATTCATTTTGATTATGTACCTGCATGTTTGGAAACCTGTGTTTGCTCTTGAAAAAATGTTGTTCCCGGGAATATTCTTTACTGTACGGTCCTTGGGTAGGCATAGGCTCATTAACATCGCATGTTCCTCTCCATGGTTCTTCTTGCATGTAAAAGTTTTGATAATGGTTATCACCGAGCTGCTTGTTGTGTTGCATCAGTTGACCCCCTTTAACTCTGGAATGTATCTGCTGCCTGTGCATTTGCTGTTGCAACTTTTTCATTTGCTGGAATTGCATATCTTGTTGTTGCATCATAGCGTTTTTGTAAACTTGCTGTTGTGGTGAGCCTGGAGGAAAAACTTTATTTTGCATTTGAAGACCGAATTGTGATTGTTGCAATGGTTGTTGTTGTTGTTGCTGCTGCTGCTGCTGTTGTTGTTGCTGTTGTTGTTGTTGCAACATCTGCTGTTGTTGCAATTGCTGTTGTTGTAAATGTTGTTGCTGCAGCTGTTGCTGTTGATGCTGCTGTTGCTGTTGCTGTTGTTGATGCTGCTGTGATTGTTGGTGTTGCTGTAGTTGTTGTTGGTGATGTTGATGCTGCTGGAATGTTTGTTGTTGTTGAAAATGTGACTGTGGTTGAATCTGTTGCTGCTGTTTCCCTAGCATTTGATAAGGTTGTTGAAGCCCTTGAACTTGCTGGACATGGGATTGATGTGACGGTTGCATGTGTGAGCTTTGATGTTGCTGACTTTGAAGCGGTATTTGTTGTTGCTGTAGTTGACTTTGAGGTGTGCCTTGAGTGATTTGATGTTGTTGTAGCCCATGGTGTTGAGATTGGAGGGACGTGTGTTGCGACTGGAGAGAAGTGTGTGGTGAATGCAGCGGTGAACTGTGCTGGCCCTGTAATTGAGCGGTATGTTGCGACTGCAGAGGTGAACCGTGTTGAGGCTGTAGTGGTTGATTTTGCGAGTGAACTGGCTGTTGAATCGACTTTTGAGCCATCTGCTGTTGATTTGCTACTTGATGTTGTGATCCAGGTTGATGGTCATGGAAATTATATTGATCCTCGAGTATTGTTTGCAATTTTTCTTTTCTTTCTAAAATCGCTAAAGGTTGTCCATTGATATGCACTGGAGTTTGCTGATGAGGATTTTGCTGAGATGGTAGGGCTTGTTGCTGGTGGTGCAATTGAGATTGCGGTTGTTGTTGTTGTTGCTGCTGCTGTTGTTGTTGTTGTTGCTGCTGCTGCTGCTGTTGCTGGAGCAGGTTATTTATCGCTTGCCCACTCAATTCAATATTTTTTTCTAAAAACTAAAATAAAAAGCTTAATTAGTAATGAAATAATCTGATTATCGACGAAGAATAATATAAAAGTACATACAGCTTGATACCTATTTTCTGATGCATCTATACTAGAAAGTTGTTTTAGACCTTCACTTAAAGCATCAGTTTTTCTAGAAAGCAAAAAAAAATAAATGTATAGTACTATTATTATTAGCAATTTGGTAATTATTTTATTTCAAATTTGGTCGTTACTGATCATTTCCTCTAGATATATTTATCTAGACATGCTGAAGATGGTTGAATGATATGTCTGACAGACCAACCCAGTGAGGATAGGCAGACCAGAATGATTGGTAACCAAATTTCAGATTCATCACCATGCAAACATGGAGAAATCTCACAATTACATTATTATAAAACAAATTCTAAAGTGAGCCATTTCTATGTTTAGGCTGATTATTAATATACTTATTAAGACAAATATGGTAAATATGGATTTAGAGCCACTCACTCCTGAGAGCCACTCCAACTACACAGAATAATAAGTTCTATTCTTAACATGAAGAAAAAAAGTATGTCTGGGTGTATTTATCGACATCGAGAAAGCGTTTGTTAAGGTTTTACATGAAGGCTTGCTGTATAAAGTGAAATCTCTCTTAACAGACACACTACAGACTACTAAAGTTATATACGGTTCAGTTTGTCGCTTTTATAGATGACCTTGTCGCCATCATAGATGCTGATTCAAAGAAAGAGCTCGAAGAAAAATCAAAACTGGTGCAAAGAGGTCAAATTAAAAATGGCTCCAGAAAAATGCCAATTGCTGATGCTAAAAGGCAAATTAAATACAAGCCCCGTGATTAAGATCAAAGGGAAAAGAATGAAGCTAAGTGAAAAGGTAAAGTACCTAGGCACAGTGTTGGGAGAAAGTTTAAGCCCCACAAACCACACCATCAAGATCAGAGGAATGAAGGGATGCATTTTCTTGAAATTGAGCTCGATTGCGAAATCGAAATGGGGACTGAGTACAACAGCGTTCTCCATCACTTACAAAAGCATATATCTGCCCATTGCAGGAGCAACCTGGGGAACAAAATCAGGAGTAGAAACAACCTCAAACAGAGATAAAGAGTAGCGCTCCTGAGAACGACAAAAGGACAGCCCGTATTCACGGCCTCCAAGTCCTAGCTTCTGCTTCACCATTCAACATTATCATCCAAAGTAGAATTGCAATCTGACAGTTAAAAGATGGAAAGGAGCCAAAAATGGTAAACTTGGATGTGTAAGATAGAGATAGGCTATGAGATGCACCTAGCAGAAACCAGATCTGGGTATATTTTCCAGCTTGGATTAAAAATAAAAATAAAAAATAAAAAAACTTGTGGCAGGAAAGCAGGAAAGATGGGACAGAAGCACCAAGAGAAGCCTAACCCATGAGTTTCTACCCAGTATTGCAGATTGAACCAGAGCATCACCGTTTCAACCAGATTTCCAGGAATTCCGGGCTGGTTACTCCTTGTTCCCATATTTGTTTGTTATTTATTAAAATACTGTACATATTGTTTTTATTGTATTTGTTTTATTAGAAAATGTATTCAAAATTATTAGCAAGCCGGATGATGGTAATGGTGTTGGTGATGAGGATACTAGGAAGCGGAGTTGTGCTCCCCTGGAACTGAAGTCTTTTGGCTTATTCTACCTTCCTAGCTTCTTAGTTCAGTGCAATCGACTCAATCCTTCTTCTCAGAAGTATTAAGTCATTTACTGTTTCTGCTACAATTTCATTCAGGTTTTTTCTGTATGCTAGGTTATGTCTTCATTGAGTCTAGGTTATGTCTCCATCCAATGTTGCATAGCATTCAAAGATGATGTGATTGCCTGTTTCTTCCTCATTACATAACCAGCAATTTATGCGATCATTGAATATACCCATTTTGTGTAGGTGTTTTTCCAGATTTCAGTGACCAGTGAATAGCCATATCACTCCCATGAGTTTTGCCCTCTCTAGCTGTAGTGATGAGTTTGCCAGTCTTGGTGAGGTCCACTTACGTATTTTTTGGATCCATTCTGTAATGGAGGATTCTGTATTTGTTTTTATCCCAAGTATAGATTCAGGGCCTATACATGATCTTGCAGATCCTCCTCTGGCCAGTGTCTGCTTTTTTGTTAGCCAAAATTCCTTTGTGCCCTGGCACTCAAGGTATCATCAGGTTGTTGTGTTTCCCCAGGTTTTGGAGATTTTGGATCCATTCACTGACTAATTTTGATGTGATTCTTTTATATGCTAATGCTTTAATGGCTGCTTGGTTATCCCATCTTATGAAGATTTTTTTGTCAGTGTAACCTTACGTACTTCCCTAATGAATTTGACTGCTCACGTTTTGGACTTGTACCCCGATCCAGTTCCCTCATTTGTTTTAGAACCATCTATATACTTTTTGTATCTGATGCTCTCCTAAGTTCTTCCTTTCCTTTATACCCTGTTGAGACTTTATAGCGTGTTGTAAAGAATGTTTCCGGGATCATGTATTCAGTCATTTCTAAGAGCAAGTCTGATTTTATTAATTACGGTTATGTGCCCGAATAGTTTAGTCAATCCAATTTGGTTGTTTTTGGAGCCTAAATGAGCTTTTCCTTGCTTCTTCTTATATGAATGTTTCCAGTGGAGGTAGGTTAGCAGTTTCTAGTGCAATTTTATTGGCCCTATGATATATAGGTTTGCTAATGTTTAGGCTATGATCCATAGGTTATTTAGCAAGAGGGAGACCTATTAGATTAGATAAATTAATAATAAGAAAAATATTTCCCTACATTCCTTGGGCCTCCTGTTTTAGGGCAAGGCCGAAGGAAGCTGTTAAGCACCATAAAATCCCCTAAATTTGCAAACCGTAGAAGCTAATTTAGTGGCTGTGGTCTGCCATTATGGGGTTTCCATTAGGTACGATTGGGAGGTGGATGGCGGTAAAAAAGCTCAGAAACAATCAAATCACATGGGAACTAAACACTTTGGGCATATAACAATAGTTAATAAAATCAAACACATTCTTAGAAAGGGGATTGACTGCATAATCCCGGAAACACTCTTTACAACATCCTATAAAGTCTCAAAAAATGAAGGAACCAGCGTTTTCTGTACAAGCACCAAATACGAGCAACCAAGATTTTAATTTATAAATAAAGGAACTACACTTCGGTCTTTCAAGATGAAATGTCATGAATACTTTGCCTTAGAAAATCTTAAAAAGAGGTTACATTGTCAAAACAATCCTCATAAGATTGGATAACTATTAAAGCATTAAGCGTGTAAAAAAATTACAACAAAATTAGCCAGTAAATGCATAATCAATCATCATCAAAATGTTAAAATTTTTCATTTATATGGTGTCATTGTTATGTTGTAATTATTAAAATGTTAATGTTATTGTATATATTTATTAAATTGCTTTGCAATAGAATTAAAACATCCATTGGGATGCGCCTAAAAAAATCATGTTTCATGTGAATTAGCTACCTAAGGCAACTACTGTAAGATAATGTGCGTATAACCGTATGACAAAGTTTATAATTTTAAAAAATTAAAGCATTGCTTTAATATACTTTATCAATTACAATTTATAGTTCTTAAGGTAAAATAATACATATAAAACATATAAAACATAATGACCACATACCTAAGGGGATTTTTTCCATAGAAAGAATCCTGCGATGAAAGAGGACTACTGTTTCCATTTTCACACCCTTTGCGCAATTAAAAAAAAAAAAAAAATTTTAGGTTGAAATTATTTTAGTTTTTAACATATAAACACAATCTTACCGATAATTGGAGTTTGGGGTTTTGGGACACTTTGGCTGGAAGTGGAGTAGTTGTTATTCCTAAACTGAGATGTCGATGTCGAAGGTGTGTAAAGCTGCTCTTCCTTTTGTATCACTTGGGCTAACAATAAGAATTACATTAGAATTACAATTGAAAAAACTACTAATCATTTAAAAAACAAAAAAACAACAATTGAAAGTTATCAGTTTATATAGCAAAAAAAGTTTTTTTTTATAGAGACATAAGACATATTATATACACATAAAATACACAAACATTTTCATGAGATTATCATGCCAAGCCAGTAAGCATAAAGAACAAACACAAATTAAGGTGTATTTGTGAAATTACACTTGGAAGTCTGCGAGTTAATGAAATGTTAATGGTTTGACCGAAACTAAATCTGTTCCAAAATTGTATTTTGTAAGCTGGACAAACTTCTTCAACTTAAAATAATATTCTAAGATTTGAGTTTAGGTCAAACCAGTATAAAAATGTTGTATCTGTGTGTCTGAGCTTACAGATTTGAGTTATATTGTGTTCAAAAAGTAGGCCCTGGCTGAAAACAAAAATACAAATTTTCATTTTTTTTTTAACTTTACAGCTTTGTACTGACCTCACCCCTTGAGAACTTATTCAAACAAAAAGGAACTTGATGTAATTGATATCAGCCTTAATATTAAAATTCTATATCAAATCAGGGTCTTATCCTTATAATTTGAAGAAAGGAAAAGCACTCTGTTCCTTCAAGCTTTCGAGGAATGTCTGCTACATAAAAACTAAAAATGTAGACAAAAATTTGAACCAGTTATTTACATTTAATGTTTTTCAGCTGGGACAACTTTTTATTATTATCGTCTTTTGATGTGTGTGCCTGTGTTTGTTTTTATGTCAGTTCTCTCTTGAAAATATGTACACATATTAAACAAACAAAATTAAAAACAGAAGGGGTTAAGCACAGTAAATACAAATTAAGAAACTTTCGGTTGCTTTACACATGGATACACATATAATATAAAAATACCAACAATGAAATTATTACAATTAGAAAAGGGTTCAATAATTATGAATAAAACACATAAATGAAAACACATTTACAACTGACAATTTTGACATAGGTGGGTTTTTTAATGGGACATTTCAAAATTACACTTTTTATGTCAATGCTGAAAATTGTACCAGATTTAAATAGTTTTAATATTATTTGATGTTGATTTTTTAAAATTAATGTTTTATGTAATGCTGTGATTCACATTAAAAAAATATTTAATTAGTGCATGTCCATGGTGAGTTGGATTAATTTGTTGTTGTTATAATAAAATGTAATGTACTTAGTCAAATAATAACATGTAATTAGTCTGTTTTAACCAAGGTGCAATATTACATTTAAAAAGAATAAAATAAAATAAAGAAAATTAGAAGTTTGAATACTTTTGTTTTATAAACTGAAACTTAGGGTAAAGTTTTCATTAAAAATAGAAAAAAATTCAAATTGTATACAGCAATTTTTTCTATTAAAAATAGTTATCACATACTTCTGGCTAAGAAACAATATAATTCAACCAATTTTTTATTTTAGATTTTTTTAAATTTAACATCTTAAATGTTCAACTGGTTTTAGTTTTGGTATACATGTTTTAGATTTTTTGAATGAATTGGCTAGTTTGTCCAAAAAATATATCAAACTCATTCATAAGCAAATTTTGTGACAAAATTTCCTAATATAATAAAAAGGCACGTGTGCAGATTTTCTAGAACGAAAAATTGCCATGACTCCCTTGCTATTTAGCTCATGAAAGCTTCATACTACAGAAAACACATCTAAACATGCACGTCAAACCTATTGCCAGCACCTCGCATTTTCTCCACCTGACATGTTTTGATTTAGAAACCTTGTGATCTTTCATTTTTGATGGAACTTCTGGAATTTTATTATCATTCTTAATTGGCCCTTCCATATGTGGTGAAAAGGCCCTGCAACTAACTCATGAACACACGTACATATATTGTGGACTAACCTATTTGGCGGGCCTCAGGGTCCTGGATATTCTGCTGAAGGCCCACTCACATTCACACTAATATTTAAATTCCCACTAACGAGAAACTTTCATACTATATGCATTGGGATTTTTGCCCACAATCACTAAAAAAATAACATAAATTAAAACTAACCTAGGCTGGTGGGTCTATGACTTTATATTCTGCCACAGACTCACTCACAGATACATAAACATTCAATCTAATAAATACATTTATACAATATGTACAGATAAAATTTGACAAGTGACTGGGTATGTTTCTTTCTTTATTTATTCCGCCAGTGCCCACCTCTTTTCACTCTAAACATATCGCTAAAAACTAACCTAGACAGTACTCTGTATTCTGCCATAATACACTCACTCAACCAATCGTGCTAATAAATACATTCATACAGGGCGATAAAGTTCGGAGAGTCTGTGGGGTACTATTATTCCGCCACTCATTCGCTCAAACATTCTCGCCAATAAATACATTAATTCTAGATGGGAAAAACCACATGTGGAAAGCCACCAAATGCGACCATATGCATTTATTTGATTTGGGTTTCCAATCAACTTTTCCCTGATATCACTGCTGTGACTTAAAATGTCTTTGAGATTCATGGACAAGCCACACCTTGTTCCATGAGGCGACAATTGTTCACACTCTATCAGTAAGTGTTTTACAGTTATTTTGGCAATACACAAGGGGTATCACCGTGGCGTATTTTAATTAGGAGATGTCCATACGTTAGTTTGGTATGACCAATTCGTAACAGGGTTATTTCTATTGTTTGTTTTTGACCATGTTCTACTCGGTTTGACTGATGCCCTTTTAATCTGTCTGTCATTACAGCCCAGCAGTTTTGCCAATCTCCCAACGTAAATTTATTCAACAATTTTTGGCATCCGTTGGGCTCACAGGGTCTCCGGTTCATGTGGCATTGTTACAGCTTGGTCACATTTTTCATTGCCTTTTATGCTGACGTGGACCAGATCCAGGCAGTAATGATATATTTATTTTCTATCTTTATTTAATTAATTTTCTTTTCTAGGATTGGTGGGTACATGGAGAAGATATGGATGGCCAAGACCGCACTGCACGAGTCTATGCGTGTAACATATTAGTTGTCTGATCTACCCTATCTCTCAGCAGACAGCACCGCGGTAAATATAATTCCTGGGACGAGGATTTCTATGGTGTGTTCCTCCCAATATACTCCACTGTCCCTCAAACCATCTTTATTTTTTAAATTTTGTTAAACTATATTTTCTTGATATACAGTCAACTTGTTAATTCAAATTTCTTGATAATACAAACTCCTTAGCAGGCCAGTTTGGTAAATTGAAAAAATTCTGGGTATTTTGATACACTCGGTAATACAAAATATTTTTCATAACAGGGCGAGAATCGAAATGGAGCCAGTTCCAATCTTTACAATTTGCCCTTTTTCTTTGTTATATTCCTCTAAATTTTTTACTTCCTTATAGCCTAAAGTTTCTTAGAATTTGATTTATTTTATTATGTTTGGCGGCGTTCAGTGTTTTTTTCAATGTGTTCTCAGCACTGGTCACTTTGGAAAATCATTTTAACAAAGGATGCCAGGCAACATAGAAACAAAAACATTTGAACTATTTTCACTTTTTCATTAATTTTACTATGATTTATATATGGATAATTTAAGTAATAACTTGGAAAAATGCATATCAAAACAACAGTTTTTGTCCCTTTCCTCTTGATAATTTGAATTATTTTTGTGGTCCCTTGGGTTTCAAATTATCAAAAATTGACTGTAGTATCTATCTCAATTCTGAAACTATTTAAAAAGACTCTTGATACAGCACAGAAATAAGTTTACACTGCAGATATTAACTTTTAAAATATTCGATTTAATTAAACTATGGCACTCTTGTAAGTTTGACTAAAATTTACAAAATGTTGCTTTTAGAACTGTTCCACTTAAAGAAAGATTCTATTTATTTAAAATCTAGAGCGATATATTTCGATTTGAGTAAACTGAATCACATATTTTTTTTATGTTTATTTTACCCACGGGCCTTGGCTTTAGCAAATGCTTCCATCTTCCAAAAATTTATATGTAAATTATTCAAATTGATTTTCACTTTCCATATATACATACGTTTCACATAAGATCAAGTCGATTATCCCATATTTTTTACGGCTATTAACATGCATGATGTATGCTTTTAAAAATGTGCTTTTATTACCTAATCTTATGTTCCATGCTCTAATGTGAATCGTTTTTATTTTTTAATTTTCTACCTTTAAGGTTTAATGAGATTGTTTAATCTGAGGCTTATGCCATGAATACATTAATTTAAAGTTACCAATGAAATTATTAATTTTATATTTTAGTTTTTTTTTTAAATAATTTTAATAGGTTAGAACTTTCCTAATAAGACTTTTAATATCAGATAGTATAAAATTTTAGGAGTTGTATATGATACATAGCATGTCCAGCAACTCATAAAAAATAACGTTCCAAAAAATATATATGCCACTTTTAAGCATATATAAAAGAATGAATGGGTTTTTCGTTCTAAGGAATGATGAGGTGAAATGGAAAATCATTTGAAGACATGCAAAAGAGCTTCAGTGAGGAGAAGAACCGGTGGGTTAACATCAAATAAATTGTAGGGTCTAATAAATTCATGAACTTTGGATTCTTGACAATGTTTCAAAGATATTTGTAAAATAAATGTTTAGAGTCACGTATAATTTTTTTTTTAAATCCTCGTCTCTCTTATTTTAGTTCATGTCTTGTTTATTTTAAATTTTTCTTGTTAACAGAATGTTTTGTCCACTTTTTAAGAGGTACTCTCCAATAATGGTCGATCTTTGTTTTAGAATTGTCTCTCTTGTGTGTTTTTCAAATATTCTAAAATTGATTTTATTGAGCAGATATATTCAAAGAGTGGGTCATTAATTTTGTCTTAAGTCTTCAAGAAAAGAATACCTGAATTTTATGGTTTAGTCAATACATTTGATTGTTATAATGATACGGTTGGTGTTTTTTGTTATTAATTTTTTAAAAATATTTCTTGACTGTATTAGTCATTGTATGCCAAAGATTATCATGTGTAACTGTTCTCATACACATACGTATATTTAAATCTGTATGGCTGTATGTCTTCATACTTCAGACCACACCGTTCTTGTGCAATTGGCTGTTTAGGGTTCCACATCAATGCAGCACAATGCTAAAAATAATAAATGCATGATCAAAGGTCACAGAAAGAGTATAGCAAAACATTTGCTGGCAAATACACTGAGATGTGAAGTATGGGAGAAATCGAAGTGATAGAGTGGAGAGGGTTCCGGTTACCTCCCACTACGTGACGTTTTCTTTGGCCGTCACTCGGAGGGCTGGACAATTCATCTTCTTCCGGTATGGTATACACCTCTCCTGGAGTATGCTCATAGAATTTCTCAACGTTGAGGTGGATCTTCATGTCTTCTTTGGATGGAGATGCCTTGTCTTCTTGGGGAGGGGAATGGGATGGGGATAACTCTGGAGATAAAGGCAAGGGAGAATCAGTAGAATACTCACGATCTTCTTGTTGACTCTTCACCACTGATGAGATCTCATCTTTTTCTCCATTTTCCCAAACCTAAAATTTGATAATCAATTTTAAACCTATTACTGTATGTATGTTGGCTGGTAAAATAAATTTAGTGATTAACATAACTTTGATGTCACCTAAAGAACTAAATCTTAGATTGAGTGATTTTACTCTTTTTTTTTTTACTTTTTTAAATTTAAATGTTATTTATTTTTTTAAATAAAACAAACAACTAAAGTGAAAACATAAACTACTAACGTGAAATTAAACTTACTGAATTATGGAAGTATGGATTATTCGATTTCTGTGTAGTATAACTTTCTTGCCTTTGAAGAACATAGTCTTTTCTTGTGCTGATCGGCGAATTTTGCTGGCTGGACACAATATCCTGCCTATTTTGGAAATTGTCCGCACGCTGTTGCCCTTGATTTTGCACGCTTCTGAATGTGTCTATGTTTTGTTGTAGTTCTTCATTCTTATACTGGAAGTTATTGTTTGGCTGGTTGATCTGTTGGTTGAATGAATCTTGGAAATTTTCTTGGATCGGTTGAAAGGAGTCTTGTGGTTGGTTCATACTAATTCCTGAATTAAAGCTCTGTTGTCTTTCTCTAAAATCCTGTTGACCCATATAACCTCGTTGAGCCATACCACCGTAAGTGTCAGTCCTGTTTGGTTCAGCAACGTTCCCTGGAAGCCTGAATTGGTTGTGATCCATAGTTCTAGAAATAAAGCACAATGAAACAAATTTTAGCGATTCTTTATCATTTTTTGATAAAATAATTTGTATTTTGTTTACGGTGGTTTTGGTGTTGGGTCTAGGTCTTTTGCTTTATCCATTACGTTCTGGATAAGGGCCCTTTCTTCAGCACTAAGATGACTAAGATCCAAACTGGGTTCTGGACCTAAAAAACACAACAACAAAAAATGAACATGTTCTATACAAACTTTATAGTTCTTTTTATAGTTTCTGGTCAATAAATTTATTTATTTTTATTTCATTTTATTTTTTATTTTTTATGAGGGTATTTCAACTACAAGGTTATATGAACCTTCAGGGTGAATTGTGCTACATGCGATGAGGTCGAGGATCTGCATTTTGATCTGCAACGAGTACGAAGTTCAGAGAGCTGACTTATTACGGAATATTGCTGGGTGTAAAAGTGTTGAACGGCCTTTCAATTTGGACACTTTAATTGGTACTAATGATATAGATATATATACTCATATATTTGATTTTCTGGTATCATGTAGCATTGAAATTTAAATTAGACGATTAGGCTAGGTTGTGTGTGGTGGTTGTGGTCGGGGGGCGAGTGGGGGTCATTGTCGGGGCGCTTGATTTTTATAAAGCCCTCTAGTCCCCGCTGCGTTGGCTTGGGCCGCTTTGGTAATCCTCCTGGCCCCTTGGCCGTCTCCGCCTCATCGGGTTTCATATAATTATTTCTTTGGCCAATGCATAAAGTAAGGTCAGGAAAAAAAAACCTTCAGGGTGCTGGTGTTTTTGAAAAAAGAAATCCCATTTGTATGTCAGATTCAAATGCAGAGCCACTGGATTCGAACTCGGGATCTTTACCTTAAGCACCACGTCAACACCTAAACTTTAATAAATTTATTATTGTAATGCCACATTGGAATAGAAGGGGCCAAATTTTACAGGAAACAAAAACCAAAATTCCCAGTTCCCTGGACACTTGGCTAACAATATTAACAAAATAATTTTTATCTGATAAAATCACATCTTTCTACCCATTTTTATGTTGATATCCATCAAGCTAATAGAATCTCAATGTAAGAAAAAATGGACCCTCATCATTTTTCTCCTAGACACTTTAATGTAATACTTTTGTAGAGAATAATTTGTTAATTTTTCTATATCCCTGAAAACTGAATATATATTATGTGCTGTAGATTGAGGGGCGGCAGTGCGAGAGACAGATATCTCAGAGAGTCGAACATTCATCAGGATTGGCTTTTCTTCCAAATCCATCATTGGGGCGATAAAAAGTTAATCCAGGTCTTAACACTTCAAACAATGTTTATTAACTGCTTACAATCCAAAAAGGAGGTATCTAGGCCAAAGCCAGACACCCCCTAGAAAGCTAACAAAGATAAAAATTTAACAAAAATCTAGCCTACTTGTCTCAATTTTTGCAACCAACAACTGTCACATTCAAAATTCGACTTCTGACTATTCACTGGACACTGACCAGTGACTATCTCTAAACTCTAATTGACTCATGATTATCTGACCAGTATCACTCAACTCTGCTTAACTACTGACTATTCTGTACTCATGTCAACTACTGACTGCCAAGTGATTACCCATGAATGAAGTCACTGTTAAAATAAGCGTTAACAGAGATTTTTTGGTGTTAAACAACCAGACAATTTGATCACACTCAAATCAAGTACAAGACGCCCTAAATATTATAGACGATCACAGAAAATGGGTTTAAACATAAACCCTAAGAAAACATATAGTATACCTTTACTAGTATACTAGTAATAGTAAGACCTTTACTTACATACGGAGCTATAGCCTGGGCTGATAAAGCAGAACAAATAAAAAAGGAAAGAACTCACAAAAATACAGAGACTTGCATGCATCTGCATAACGGGAGCAATGAGAACATGTCCTACAATTAGCATGGAAAAGATACTAGGATTAATCCCCCTACATCACATGGTAGAAAGGACAGCACAGAAAACCACAATCAACTTTATCAGAGAGAAACCTCCAACAGGAATAAAACTGAAATGGAGAGACAAACAAACAAGACCATCCATCACTCATGGCTCCAAGAGACGACATGAACAGGATGTTTGAATTTAACCAAAAATTCCAAATACATCTGGGTACCAAAAAGGAATGGGAAAGAAAGGGAAATAACTCCCTCAAAAATGGCACTATCCTTTGGTACACAGATGGATCTAGAACACAAGAAGGTACGGGGGCAGGAGTATTTGGACCCGGAACCAAATACTCAGAACCCATGGGAAAACACACCAGTATCTTCCAAGCTGAGATTCACGCAATTGAAAGATGCATCCAATTCAATCTAAGTAAAGGATACAAAAACAAGAATATAGCTATCATGTTAGATAGTCAAGCAGCCATCAAAGCACTAAGCTCAAGAATCATTAGTTCAAGGATGGTGCTGAACTGCCAAAACAAATTAAACACACTAGGTATGCAGAATAAAATCAGCCTCTGCTGGGTCCCAGGACACATGGGAGTAGAAGGCAACGAGAAAGCGGACACCCTTGCAAGGAAAGGGGCTGCCACACTGCTGATAGGACTCGAACCCTTCTGTGGCATAGGAATCCACACTATTAACGAATATCTCAGACAGAAGGACAAAAAGAAAATAAAGGAACAATGGAATTCACTCATTGGACATAGACAATCCAAGAATCTTCTAACCAATTTTGGCAAGAAAGAAATCACAGAATGTGTCAAAGGAAGCAGGAACAGACTGCGAATCCTAACAGGATTCCTAACAGGACACTGTAGATTAAATGGACACCTAAAGAATATTGGAACAATCCAAGATGGCACATGTAGATTCTGCAAGGAGGCAAAAGAGACGCCAACACATTTACTAACAAACTGCGCAGCTACATTAGCCCGCAGGAGGAAAGGTTTGGGGATGTATAATGTGACCATAGAAGAGCTTCAACCATTAAAACCGAGCCTATTAATACAATAGCTCTTAAAGGGCGCAGTATACCATACCCTGAAAAAATTACATCTACATTACATCTACAAGGATTTAAAGCATCCTCTATAAAAGACAAAGCTTTAACTTTCTCCAAAGAAACAATGTACCTAGGTAAAGCCATTGACCAAAGGCTCAAATGGAGAAAACACAAAAGCTGCAATAAATCCAAGGGTCTACTAAGCATTAGTCAGAGATGGCGAGACCCCAGGATGGCGTATTGATTTTACACTACAACAGTCTCGTATTGAGCTCTAGGTGCAAGTATGAGGCAAGCTAAGAGATTTATAAATCTTTCAAAAAGGAAGGCGAAGGAACTCTTTCTCACAGCAGGCAGGATTTGAGAAAAATTATAGACCCCTATACCAGCCAATGCCCTCTTAACTACCGCCTAAAGAAGATGGGCAAAGCAGAGATTTTTAGTTGACCACCAATAAACTAAAGAATTAAAAAAACGGCAAACTTAAAGCCTGTACGGCTTCAATGTAGATAACTGCCAAACCTGGGAGCACTTGATTTTCAATTGTCGTCTTGATGAGTCAACACATACCAAACTTCTGAGAAAGTGGTGTCAAACAGGGACCCATGGCCATTAATACTCAGTGACTTGAATCCAATTATTGCGAGGACTTTGAAAACAACACATCTAGGTGTTTAACATCTAAAATACGGATAAGTAATAACAATAACTCCGAATATTATTATTTTAAGTTATATACAGATCATACTCAGCATAATCATAGGGGTTCCACAATAGATCTATGTAGGTCGCAGACGAGAAAAAGTTAGAAACTTTACTTTACACCTTAATTAAACAAACAATGTGCCAAAAAAATAAGAAAAAGTGCAAACAAAACAATGTGGTGTTTATGGAGAGTAATTTTTATAATTTAGTTATTACATTGTAATAATATAATTAAAACATTTCCGAGAATTATTTTATTCTACTTCTTTCTCCACATAGAGAATGTAATAAGTACGCCTCTCAATATGAGTATTTTTCTTAAGGACAGTAGTAATGTTATTCGTACCCTTGGACTTTTAGAAGCCCTCGGGCATCATCGGCTCAATGCCCTTTCCTGACAATCAGAGGACTCCAACTCTCTTCTTGTTGTTTTGGGTTGTTTTTGTTTTGGCCTTGATTGTTTGTGAAGCTTTTGCCCTTTCGGCTAAGCTTTCTGGTGGGGCAACACAGTCCTTTTTAATTGATTTTCGGTGGACTTTGAGGAATCTCCGTTGGTACGATAAAAATGTAAAATCATAAGAGGACAAATTCAAAATAGTTTCAGTAAGAACTGGAGGTTTAAAATAACCGAATTACTTACTGTAAATTGAATTTTATAAAAGTAAGCCTAGATAAATTTAGATTACGGTAAATATATGGAAAGCATAAGATATAATCTGTATTCATAGATATAAAAATAATGTAGCTTCTAGGCTTTTCAGTAATAAAAAAAAATTAATGTCTTTTTAGGTAAGATTAGAAAAGAAGCTGGCCTCTTTACAATCTGGGCCAGTATTGTAATAAGCTCTTCATTAAGCTTAAGGCTTTTTACCAGATCTCAAAGCTTTTTTTCAAGGAGGACTCCCGTGTGTATCCTTCAGGCCCAGGCTTTTCCTCGCCCAAGAGTAAGAATCTCAGCGTAAATAAGTGTTTTCATCAACACAGGACAGAAGTCCAACTATTATTCTAATTATTCAGAAATCGTGAGATGCGGTCTGAACCGCATCTCACGATTTCTGAATAATTATCGATTAACGGTCACTAATCACCGCATATATTATTCTAGTTCTAACACATCCTAGGTTTAATAGTTCTGCCATTAGTTTCTGCAATGGTACTTTGATGAACTTTTTCGCCTGTGTCCTGGGCTACATTCTACATTAAATCATTGAACGGAGGACTTCTTTTAATCCATTGTCTGATAGATTAACGTTTTTGGCAATTTGGTATTTTTTAGAATGCCATAAAGTTGAGAGCTATAGGTGTCCTCATCGAACTTGCCTTGGGCAGTTTATCAATATCTTCTTTGCCCCTCTGCCACGGTACGTAATAATTTTGTTGTTTCCCCCATGTCTGTCAGGTCCGTAATGATTTAAAATAAGCTGGTGTCCCAAAAGCGTTCTTGGTCCTACCCCTGTACACAACCACCCTTTCAACCTACTATGACCGCAGTTTTATCTTCTAACTCAAATTCTAGCCCAAGTCAACTCCAATACTGCGGAGCTCATCGAAGAATGGTGCAAAATGTGGAAAATGAACTTGCATGACGACATACGATCCTAAATTATGTTCACGCTAAGAAAAACTGGCTTGTCTATAAGTCAATAGCAAAGAACTACCAAATCGCCGTCAACGGTTATGACCTTAATTTG